TCTGGTGTGGAACAACGTAAGCATTAACACTGGAATGACGCAACAAAAAGATAGCATGGCCCCTGTGTAATGATAATATGAGAATTTGTGAGGCATTCCATATTAAGAAAAATAGAAATGTCAAAGGTACTTTGAAATCTGGTTTGAAACTATGTACTCAAGGGATAAAGGAGTTTATGTGTGAACTAAAGTACCATTACCAAAATTTTTAAAGCTCAAATACTAGGTTTAGAAGTTTTGTGACTTAAATATCTTCTTTCTTGGTAACATTTTCATATATCCATTTATCCATTTACTTTATTTGCTTGTGTGTATGTGCCATGGCAGAGTGTGTAGAGTCAGTTCTTTCCTTCTGCCACATGATTCTTGAGGGCTGAATTCCAGTTTTCAGACTTGGAGGCACGCATCCTTACCTAAGACCATCGACTGACCCTACCATTACCTTATTTGTTTATTATGGGGCATGAAACCTAGCATTACTTATTAATTACTGGGTATGGCGGTACCATGATGCACATATGGCAAACAGAGGACAACTTGTGAAAGTCAGCTCTCTACTTCAATCCAGTGGGTCTTGGGGATCAAACTCAAGTTGCGTTGGCAGGCAGGTCCCTTACTCAACAAGCCATGTTCCTGGCTCTATGTATACTTTTAGTTTTTTGCTAAAAATGCGTATGTATGAACTTCCATGCAAGTGCCACAACTCATGTGTGTAGACCACAGGGGACCAGTTGATTCCCTCCTTCCCCATACAGGTACTGGGGATAGAACTGAGGCCCTCAGGATCTGAAAGTGCAAGCCTTTACTCACTGAGCTTGTTCCCTATTAATGCCTTCTTAAACTAACAGCAGGGAATCCTGAACAGGTCATCTTGTGTTGAGACTTTGTGGCAATGCTAAGAAAAGGAGAAGCCTTACACCACTCCCAAGAAAGAATAAGCACAAGAGGAAGAAGATTTAGTTGGCTATGCTGAAATAATATAAGATGGATGAAAATGGCAGCATTAGTTGACTTCGTCAAGAGTGTCCTGATGAATGCGGAGCTGGAGTTTTCATGGCTAGACACTTTGACAGACATTAGTGTAGCAAGTGTTGTCTGACCTACTCCTTCAACAAACCAGAAGACAAGTAGTTGTGTATGAGCTAATAAAAAGGAACTGATGTTAAAAAAAAAAAAAAGAAAAAAGAAAATGGAAGTGCCTCCATAAGACTAAGGTATAGGCAAGCCTGTAGGGCATTTTCTTAATTAGTGATTGATGGGGAGGGCCCAGCCCATTGTGGGTGGGGCCATCCATGAGCTGGTGGTCCTGGGGTCCTCTATGGCCTCTGCATCAGTTCCTGTCTCTAGGTTCCTGCTTTGAGTTCTTGTCCTTCCTTTGAAAATGAACTGTGGTGTGGAAGTATAAGCCAAATAAACCCTTTCCTTCCCAACTTACTACTTTAAGATTTACTTATTTATTTATTTATTTTATGTGCATTGGTGGTTTGGATACATGTATGTCTGCTTGAGGGCATCTGAGCCCCAGGAATTGGAGTTACAGACAGTTGTGAGCTGCCATGTGTGTGCTAGGAACTGAACACAGGTCCTCTGGAACACAGGTCCTCTTAATTGTGAAGCCATCTTTCCAGGCCCCCAACTTACTTTTGGTAAGTGTTTCATCACAGCAATGGTAACCCTAACAAAGATACCATGGCATATGCCAGGCAAGTTGGCCCACTAGCTTTCAGGGAGTTTGCTACTTTTGCCTCAGATGTCAGCATAGGAGCACTAGGATTACAGCAGTGTTACTGCGCTCAGCTTTGTAAGCATTCTGCAGATCTGAACTTAAGTCTTGACTGACACAATTTACCCACTGAACTCTCTCCCACTCTGGTATCAGTGAAGAAACAAACAAAAACAGACCTCAAGGGCTGGGGGGCTGGCTTAATGGGTAAAAGTGTTTGCAGTCCAACCTGAAGACCCGAGTTGGGTTTCTGGGACCCATATGGTGGAGGACAGACTACTGCCAGCTGTCTCTGCAGCTCACACCATCATTTGTGTCCTCTCTCTCGTGTTCACACACACAGTCAATGAAATAAAAAGAAAAATTCTGATAGATGCTATCACGCGGATTAATCCTGAGAACATCATCTAAGTGAAACAGACCACTCACAGAAGAACAATTACAATACTATTCCACTTGCACAAAACATATATTCATAAAAGTCACACTCAAAACTGAAAGTAGAAGAGTGACTGATGTGGACTGAGAGGTGCTGTGTTGAAATTTTCAGCAGAGAATGATGAAAATCACAGAAACACAAAGAGTGCTTTTTTGGTGTGTGTCTGTTGTTTTTATTACTGGGAACTGAATCTAGATCCTCACATTCAAGGCAAGCACTCTACCACTGAGACATATCTCTAGCACTCTCTCTACTTCCTAAGGTTAGGTTTCAACTGTCCAAACTGGATTTGTGCTCACTCTGTGTGCCAGGGTGGTAAGCCCTGAACTTTTGACCAGCCTATCTCAACCTTCTGAGTAGCTGGGACTACAGGTCCGTGCCACCCTGTCTACTGAAAATTATATTAGATGGTAAATGGTTTTCTTTGTTTGGTCTTTGTTTGATTTTTTTTTTTTTTTTTCCAGACAGGGTTTCTCTGTAGCCTTGGCTGTTATGGACTCACTTTGCAAACCTGGCTGCCTCAAACTCATAGAGATCTAGCTGCCTCTCCCTCCTGAGTGCTGGGATTACAGGCTTGTGCCACTGTGCCTGGCTAAACTGTATTTGTTAACAGCACCTTATTACAAGTACACAGTCAAGTAGTTTCTTAACTCTCCAAGATGATGAAATAAAAATTTAAAACACAAATCCACTGCATTTGACCAAACTGAAGATGTATTACTACTTGTAATGCCATTTTATTATTTATTTACATAATAACTACTATTATTATTACTATTGATTTTTCAAGACAAAGTTTCTCTGTGTAGTGTTGGCTGTCCTGGAACTGTTTTCTTTTTTCTTTTTCTTTTTAAATGTATACAGTGTTCTGCCTGCATGTGTGCCTGCATGCCAGAAAAGGGCACCAGATCTTATTATAGACGGTTATGAGCCACTATGTGGTTGCTGGGAATTGAACTGAGGACCTCTTGAAGAGCAACCAGTGCTCTTAAGCTCAGAGCCATCCCTCCAGATTCCTTTTCTCTCTCTCTCTCTCTCTCTTTTTTAATTCAGTATCTTCTCTCCTAAGAACCCAACTGCTTTATAAATATTAAGTACAAATCCTGCCTGGGGATTACATCTAATAATTACTGAATGCTCAAATACAAATCATATATAAGCTAAGCAATGTACTTAAATTTCCAAGCTTTCTCTGAGCCATCAAATGAGATAAATACAAACAATCTACTCCTCCCAGCAGGGACACAGAATTTGGAGATTGTTCTGGATAGTAAAAAGGGTTTTAGGTTTAAAACTTCTTGGTTTTTACATCCTCGTACTCCTTAGGACATGTCCAGGCATGTTCAAGATGTGTGCCATTCACGACACTGCTCAGCATGTTGCTTCCTCCCTTAGTACTTAAAAGGCTCATTTGCAGTATTTAAGGCTTACTGCTCTGAATAAAAAAGCCAGGCTAAGCTGGAAGTGGTGGCGCACACCTTTGATTCGGGGAGGCAGAGGCATGCGGATCACAGTGAGCTCAAAGCCAGCCTGGTCTACAAAGCCGAGGCCAGGACAGCCAAAGCTTACACAGAGAAACCCTGTCTCGAAAAAGCAAAGGGGGAAAAAATCCAAGCTAAAAACCACTGCCAAGAGAGATAAGCTAGTTCTAATAAGAAACCTACACAAACTCTGTCTTGAAAAATGCCAATTGGTAGACTACAAACCAAGAGGGTTGCATATGCCTGTATCCCGCAGTTTAGGAGGTTGAGACGCTGCTGTCTTCAAAATATGCTAGAATTATTGTTATTTTGCTTTTGGTTTTTGGAGACAGGGTTTTTCTCTGTGTAGCGGAGCCCTGGCTGTACGGGACTCACTTCAGGCTGACCTCAAACTCTAGAGAGCCGCCTGCCTCTGCCTCCCAGAGCGCTGGGATTAAAGTCGCGCGCCACCACGCCCGGCTCAGAATTTTTTTTAACGTTGGGCTAGGAAACACTTCTTTACATCATCCCCTACACTTCTTGGGCGAAGGACCTCATAAATCGCGCCCCAACTTGCCAGTCTCCCCCAAAGTTCTGTTTTGGAAGCGGTCACTTGCGCTGCACGACCGTCCCCTGCCAACTCTACTACTGGAGGCCAGTCCCTCCCTCCTCGGGACAGCAGAGGCCCAGCTCAGACGACGAGGAGACAACCAGGGCGCGGTTTCTTACTTTTTCCAGCTACTTCATGCGCTAGGCAGGCCAGCGGACATTAGGCCTCTCTGATACCGCCACGCTCCCGGGAGCCCATGTCCTCCCACCGGAAGCCGCGCGTGCGTGGGCGCCAACGTCTCCTCACTAACGGCTACCCCCCCCCCCCCACGGGGGTCCGGGGCTGGCCCATAATCCCTCGCGAGGGCGGGAAACGCAAGGAGGGCGTCCATGCCTCAGCGGGGAGCACGACAGTTTCTACCACAGTTCTCTGAAATTTTCACAGCGACGGCTGGCCAGTATTCGCTCGCTGCTTCTACTGTTTTCACTCAGGGAGATGATTCCTTTTAAAGACCCTTGAGGAGCCCACGAAAGAGGACAGAGCCAGGCAAGGAAATATGGTGTGTGGAGTCCACTGGGCCTGGTCACCATCCTCGGGCCTGCAGCCCTTTTTTTTTTTATTTGTTCTGTTTTTACTGTCGGGCTATACCCTTCCGGTAACGGAACCCCAAAATGTGACGCGGACGAATCGCATCGGGAAAACGATACTAGACGTCAACCCTCGTGGGGTTTCCTCAGCGGCTAGGCCTCGCGAAGGCCAGGCCGCGCGAGCCCCGCCCCTTCCGCTGCACGCACGCCGTCACGTGACGTGGCTCGGGGCGGGCGGGGTTTGGGCCTCCGGGGCTGCGGCCCCTGTCGCTCTGCGTCACGGCGTGCGTGGGTGGGCCGAGCGCTTCCGAAATGCAGCGGGAACTGGTGAGTTTCCCGCTGTCCCCCGCGGTGCGCGGGAAGCTGGTGGCCGCCGGCTTCCAGACGGCCGAGGACCTCCTGGAGGTGAAGCCCTCCGAGCTCAGCAAAGGTAACGACTCCCGGCGGCCCCCTCGGTGCGCCGCCCCTGCCTTCGTCCTCCCCGTCACCGCGCCAATGCTCTTTGGCTCCGCTCTCAAAAGTTTTCTTGTGGCTGCAACTGTGTGGAGAATTAGGAACTCATTCCGTGCCCGCGCCTGATGGATGCCTTGACGATTGTCTCACGTGTGCGCAAAAGAAGTGTCTTGGACCCGGGCGTCCAGTCTGTAGATGAAAGGAACCTTTCATCTTCACCCTGGGGTTTCATGATACCTGGGCTGGGAAATAGTGGCTCTAGAATTGGAAAACAGACGCGAGCCATGTAATTCTCGCTCTTCAGAGATTCTAGAGGGGCGGGAATTGAATTCGAGAAATGAAGTGCTAGAGACATTTCGGCCAGAAAAGGGATAGAGCATTCCCTTAGACCAGGAAGAAGCCCTGGAAAGATGTTCGTGATTCACGGAATACCCCCAACTTTTCTCCCAGAGCTCTTCAGATTACGTATAAGTGGGAACCACTGATGTACAGAAAACCCAGACCGAAGTCGGCTGTTGTTACCCACTGTGCCGGTAGCATATGCACAGCTCTTTGCTCTTCACCAGAGGACAGAATGGAATGTGGCCTGTTTTTTAAATGTTGGGTTTTGAACTCATGGCTTTGCAAATGCTAGTAAAACACTACCACAGAGCTACACCCCTAGCCTAATTTTAACTTTTACATAGTAATGATGCTAACCAGGCAGAAGCTGAACGGTAGAGCACTAACTAGATGCTCATGCCCCAAGGTCCTGGCTTTGATCCCCAGCCAGTAAATAACTAAATAACTGGATAATTCATTACCGAGTTAGGCTTTTGTTTATTTTCAAGACAAGATTTCTAGTCCTAGAACTAGATCTATAGACCAGACTGGCTTTGCCTCTGCTTTCCTGGTGCTGGTATTAAAGGTGTGGGCCGCCACCCTGGTGCTCTGAATTAGACTTTCTGTTTCTCTAATGTTTTTTTTTTTCTTTCTTTCTTTCTGGTTTTATTTACAGAGGTTGGGATATCTAAAGAGGAAGCTCTAGAAACTATACAGATCGTAAGAAGAGAATGTCTGACAAATAAGCCAGTATGTGCTGGTCCATCTGTAGCAGCCAAGAAGTGCACAGCTCTGGAACTTCTTGAGCAAGAGCACACCCAGGGCTTCATAATCACCTTCTGTTCAGCACTGGATAACATCCTGGGGGGTGGAATACCCCTAATGAAAACGACAGAAGTCTGTGGTGTGCCAGGTGTTGGGAAAACACAGTTATGGTAAAAGAGGATGTTCTCTGCCTAAGGGTGGACTTAGGATTTTATGTAACTGAAAGAAAATTGTGCTGTGAGTTTGTATTTAGGACACCAGAACGCATGTTACTATTGTATGTGTGTGTGTCAGTCAGCTTACCATTCATATTCTCTGTGCCCCATCTTCTTGATAAATGGGTAGAATGGCTTTGATATCAGGAATGTTTCTTTTGTAATATAGTGTGGTCATTAGAGTAAACAGACACTCTCCTAATTAGTTGGGTTCTGAGATGTATTTGTTAAATGTTTAAAAGTTGATTTATGTATGGTAAAGACTTCTGAAACAGGCTTGGTGACACGATCCTATAATTTCATCACTCAGGATACCGAAGCAGGACTGCTATGAGTTAAAGAATACTCTGGACTACATAAGAATTGCTAGACTAGCCAGGATATATAGGAAGATCCTGTTTCCAAAAAGTATATCTGCCTGGTTGTGGCACACTCTACAGACATGGCAGTAGGGAGATGGAGACAGATAGAAGGATTGAGGGTTGAAGGACCAGCCTAGGCTACACTGCCAACCCTTGACTCAAAAGGAAGGGAGAAAATGTAAAGCATTCAATTCTCAGAAACCTAAAACCACTAAGAGTTCCTTAATCATCATTTTGTACAACACCCTAACTGTACTCTAGTCATCTGTTGATTGCTTGGGGCGGCTCCTATGGAGAGTCAGCCATCCCGGTTGCCTTGGGGTACTATGTTTGCATTTAGAAAACTTGATGGTCTAGCTGATGGTTATATGCAGCTTACAAAAGGTGTTTTAAATGGTTATTATAATGATTTGGTCATTTGGCAATTTCTTGACAGCATGCAGTTGGCAGTAGATGTGCAGATTCCGGAATGTTTTGGAGGAGTGGCAGGTGAAGCAGTGTTTATTGATACAGAAGGAAGCTTTATGGTTGATAGAGTGGTAAGCCTCGCAACTGCCTGCATTCAGCACCTTCATCTCATAGCAGGGACACACGTGGATGAAGGTAAGTTAACACATGGTACTCTGTAACAAAGAGTTTGTGTTTGTGCCTGTCTCAGACCACAGTAAGAGATTGTCCCAAACTTGAACCTTAACTAGTTAAACTCCAATTCTTTTGTTGCAAAATTATATACAGGACTCTCCCTGTAACTCAGGTTATCTGTGATCTTTCTGCCTCAGTCTCCAAACTGCTGAAATGACAGACCTAGGTGATATTCAATTTAGCAGCCATTACTTTTTTTTTTTTTTTTTTTGGTAAAAAAAAATTACAAAACACCCATGTGGCAGCTTATACCTGTCTGTAACTCCAGTTCCAGGGCTTCTGACACCCTCACATAGACATAGACAAAACACCAATGAACATAAAGTAAATTATAAATTTTTTTTTTAATGTGTTGGGGGAGGTACACATGAATGTAGATATCCACAGAGGCCAGAAGGATCAGCATGCAGTGGTTGTGAGATGGATGAGAATCAAACTCATTTTCTTGGGAAAAATAGTTCATGTTCTTTTTTTGTCTTTCTTTCTTTCTAGATTTATTTATTTATTATCTAGACAATATTCTGTCTGCATATATAGCTACATGCTGAAAGAGGGCACCAGATCTCATTATAGATGGTTGTGAGCCACCACATGGTTGCTGGGAATTGAACTCAGGACCTCTGGAAGAGCAGCCAGTGCTCTTAGCCACTGAGCCATCTCTCCAGTCCCTGTTTTGTTTTTTTTTTTGTTTTGTTTTGTTTTTTTTTGCTCTCCTGGACTCACGTTGTAGACCAGGCCGGCCTCAAACTCACAGAGATCTGCTTGCCTCTACCTCCCTGAGTGCTGGGATTACAGGCATGCACTACTGTGCTTGGCCTTTGTTTTTTGTTTTGTTTTAAAAATGGTCCCTTCATTATGTATATTATGTAGCCCTGGCTCTTCCTCCTGAGTGTTGGGATTAAGTGCACACACAGCCGCACCCAGCACAGTTGGTGTTCTTAACCACTGAGCCATCTCTCTGGCCCAGTAGAGATGGCTCACTGAAGGTAGAAGTTCTTCACATCAAGTGTGATGAAGTGACTTTGATCTGTAGAACCCAAATGGTTTAAAGAGAGAACTAACTCCTGAAAATTGTTCTCTGACAGCCACAGATGCACTGTGGCATTTGCATAAGAGCGCACACACGTACATACACAATTTGTTAAAAACAGGAACTTTGGGGTGCTTATATGTCTCTTTCAGTAGTTGTTTTCAGGGTCCAGGCGAGAGACCCTGGAAAGGTAGAAGACAAATGATTCGTCTGTTTAAAATGTCTCACTCGTGGCTCATCTGTACTTGAATAAACATCTTAATATGTTGCTGTGCATTCAGTAGATGTACTGAGTCACTGGGATGTGAAGGTACATTTTAATGCTCAGTTTATAATTAAGGTTTTTTATGTTTTTTTTTTTTTTTTTCTGTGCCTGTTTTGCTAACTTAGCTTATATTTGAAGAAGCAGTGTTTACTAATCTGAAATGTAGTTCCCTGGCTATCCTTATAATGCTTTTTCCCTGAGGATGACCTTGGACTGGAGCCTCCTGCCTCATGTGCTGGGATTACAGATGTGAGCAAGCTACCATGTGCAGCTAATTTCTTTGTTTTGCTTTTTTGTTTTTTCTTCTTTGTTCTGTTGTTTTTGTAGCGTCGGGGATCAAATCTAGAGCTTTGTAAATGTTAGGCAAACGCTCTGTCACTGAGCTTCATTCCAGCCCTGTTTTCTATATAAATGTGCATACATATGCTGGGGACTGAACCCAGGTCCTTACAGTAGCAAGCACCTCCAACTCCAGCCCCTGTTGGTTTGGTTTCATAATGTTAAACTCTAAGTACTTTTTATTTGGCTTTTTGAGACAGAATCTTGCTCTGTCTGCTAAACTGACCTGGCACTGTAGGCTCAGGCTGGTCTCAAACTCATAGTTTCTGATTTTTTTTTTTTTTAATTTAAACCTTTGTAAAAATCACATTTATCAGCCGGGGGAGGTAGTGTACACCTTTAATCCCAGCACTGGCAAGGCAGAAGCAGGCAGATTGCTGTGAATTCAAGGCCAGCCTAGTCTACAAATTGAATCCAGGACAACCAAGGCTATGCAGAAGCCCTGTCTCGAAAAAAAGAAAAAGAGCAGCAGAAAATCACATTTATCTGGCTGTAGAGATTACTTAGTTGTTAAAATCATTGCCTGCTCTTCCAGAGGTCATGAGTTCAATTCCCAGTACTCACATAGTGGCTCATAACTATCTATAGTGGAATTTCTTCTGGTGTGCATATATACATGCGGACAAAGCACCATTATATATAAGTAAATCTTTTAAAGTCATCATTTTATTACTGTGTATACACACGTGTGGAGATCAAAGAACAACTTAAGAGAGTTTTATTCTTTCACTGTGAGTCCTAGTGATTGAACTCAGGTTATCTTGTCATTGATCAAATATATCATAGGAGCTGAAGAGATAATTCATTTGTTTACAGCTTTGGCTGCTCTTGCAGAGAACCCAGGATTGGTTCCCAGCACCAACATGGCAGCTTCCAGGTGGTCTGATGCCCTTCTGGCCTCCTTGAGCACCAAACACACACACACACACACACACACACACACACACACACACACACGGTACACTTACATGGAGGCAAAACACCCAATAGCATTAAAATACTTTTAAAAAACATTTTAAAATGCAATAATTAGTTTTTTATTTCAAAACCACACTGACTTTATTTTCTTTGATTTTTATGTGTTTGGATATTTTTGCCTTCACTGTGTGTGTGACTGCGTGCTGTGAGCTACCCTGATTGCTCTGGAAGAGCAGGCAGTAATCACTGAGCCATTTTTCCCTTTTATTTTTTGAGACACGTAACTGGCTGGCCTAGAATTTCCTATATAGACCAGGATGACTTTAAACACTAAACCAAACTGACTTTAAAATCCAGGTGGTAAGAAGATTTCATATTATGCTGGGTCCCAGTAGTCAAGGAGGCAGAGGCATATCTGTAAATTCGAGGCCAGCCTGGTCTACAAAGCAAGTCAAGGCTATACAGAGAAAGCCTGTCTCAAACAACAACAACAACAACAAAAAAGATTTCATATTATTACTACTTAAAAATCAAGTAGCAGTATTAAATGGAAAGTATACTCCATTGGAACTTTTTTTTTCCTTTGATTCCTAATTTGTACTTCCCAAAATAAAGAAACTTCAGTTGTGGTACTTCTGTTCAGTGGAAATAATCAGTAACTAGATATACAAAAAGATAAACAGACTTTAGTTTTATTACTCTAGTTATTTTACTCTAGTGAGTAAATAACCCCTAGTATGTAAAGAAACAGAGGAAAATATAAAATTATAGGTCGATTATCAAGTCACAGTGAATTTGCAATCGTTCTTTCATCTTTTAGAAAGTGTGTTTTACAGGGATTACAAAGGTATTCCATTTTGTGATTAAAAATAACTGATTGAAGCCTGCCATGATGGTGCACACCTCTAATACCAGCACTCAGGGAGGCAAAAGCAGGTGGATCTCTGAGTTTGAGGCCACCCTGATCTACAGAGCAAGTCCAAGACAGTCAAAGTTACACAGAGAAACCCTGTCTCAGAAAACAGAACAAAACAAAAAAATTGATCAGGCTGAAGAGATGGCTGAGCTGTTAAGAGCACTGACAGCTCTTCTAGAAGACCCTGGTTTGATTCCCAGCACCCATATGGCAGCTCATAACTGTCTGTAACTCCTATTACAAAGGATCTGACACACTTACAAAGACACATGCAGGCAAAAACACCAGTGCACATAAAATAAATCATAAAAGAATTTAAAAATATAACTGATTGGGCTGGAGAGATGGCTCAGTGGTTAAGAGCACTGTCTGCTCTTACAAAGGACCTGGGTTCAATTCCCAGCACCCACATGGCAGCTCACAATTGTCTGTAACCCCAATTCCAAGGGATCTGACACCTTCACATTAATGTACATAAAATAAAATAAAGTAACTGATTGTCTGTACTGTTAGACTATTAGAACAAGAAAAACTAAATTATTTAAGATTGCTTTTTTGTTTGTTTTAGAACATCAGAAAGCCTTGGAGGATTTTACTCTTGAAAGTATTCTTTCCCATATTTACTATTTTCGTTGTCATGATTATACTGAGCTGCTGGCACAAGTCTATCTCCTTCCAGATTTCCTTTCAGATCATTCAAAGGTATGGATAAGCACTAGTAGAATAATGTCTTTGAAAGTGTTGGTAATACAAAAATAAACAGTGGCATAGAATAAACCTGATGCCAGCTCAAAAGTCTCTTCTTTCTCTGCCCTGTAACTTACTTATTATAGTATATATATATTTATATATTGTATATATATATAAATATATATATATACACACAATTCATATTTATATATTCTCGTATATAGTTTTAAGGTTAAAATACCTGTTGATCATAAGTACATACAAGTTTCTGGATTCTATTCTATTGTGCTATGTGCATATGCTTACGCCAGTAGTACTAATTTTTATGTTGTAGGTTTTTGTTTTGTTTTGGTGGGGTTTTTTTGTTTGTTTGTTTGTTTGTTTTCAGAATTTCATGTAATTCAGGCTGGTCTTGAACTTTCACTTCCTTGAACTGTGTGTGTGTGTCTGTCTGTCTGTCCCTGGATATCCTGGAATTCACCTTGTAGACCAGGCGGCCATCAAACTCAGATTTGACCACCTCCGCCTCCAGAATGCATGCTACTGACTAGAAGATAGAGGACATTGGATGGATTATATTTATAGATCATAGCTCTGCGGTTCTCATCCTTCCTAATGCTGTAACCCTTTAATACAGTTCCTCATGTTATAGTGATCCCCAACCATAACTTATTTCTCTTGCTGTTTCATAGCTGTATTTTGCATGTTATGAATTTTATTGTAAATATTTGATATGCAATCCCTGTGAAAGGGTTGTTCAACCTCCAAAGGGGTTACAACCCACAGGTCGAGATGCTAGACTGTCTTTGACAGACCTGAAGTTATAGGAAGTTGTGAACTGCCTGACATGGGTGCTGGGAGCTGAACTCAGGTCTTCTGTAAGAGCAGTATACACTCTTAATTACTGAATCATCTCTCCGGATCCATCAAGAATGCCCACCTAGCTAGCTAGATTTTTTTTTCTTTTTACAGCTCTCAAATTTTTTTAAAGATTTATTTATTTATTATTTATACAGTGTTCTGCCTGCACACCAGAAGAGGGCACCAGATCTCATTATAGATGGCTGTGAGCCATCATGTGGTTGCTGGGAATTGAACTCAGGACCTCTGGAGGAGCAGCCAGTGCTCTTTCTTAACCTCTGAGCCATCTCTCCAGCCCCAGCTCTCAATTTTTTAATTTATTTTATTTTTATTTTTTTCCAAAACAGGGTTTCTTTGTGTAGCCTGACAATTCCTAGATTCACTTTGTAGACCAGGTTGGCCTCGAACTCACAGAGATCCACTTACCTCTGCCTCTTCAAGTGTTGAGATTACAGGCATGCATCCCAGCACCCAGTTTAGAGCCCTCAATTTTAAGATTTATTTATGTAATAAAATATGCTTGTGGGGTGCTGTTTTATTGTTGTAATTTTAACTTCAAACCTAATTTTGTTCTCTCTTCTGTGTTTAGGTGCAGCTGGTGATAATAGATGGTATTGCTTTTCCTTTTCGTCATGACTTTGATGATCTATCCCTTCGTACTCGATTACTAAATGGTCTGGCCCAACAAATGATCAGCCTTGCAAATAATCATAGGTTAGCTGTAAGTATTATTGCTCAAAAGAATGTTTAAATTTATACAGATTTTGCCTGATTAATATGAACATGGTTTGGGGTTTATGGTTTTTATTGTTGTTTGGTAGATACAAAGCCTTGGTAAATAGCCTAAAAATTGATATGTAGTCTGGCCTGGCCTTGAACTCTTTATCTTTTTACCTCAGTGTCCTGAGTACTGAGATTACAGACATTTGTTATCATACATGGCTTTTAATGTAGATATTTTGTAAAAAAGCCAAGTTTCTTGTTTGTTTGTTTGTTGTAACAATAGGGATTAGACCCAGAACTTCATGCATGGTAAGCAGGTGTTCTACTACTAAGCTACTATATAGGCCCTAGTGCCAATTCTCCATTTGAAATATTAAGGGAGAAGTAAATATGAGGTTAGGAGTAGAGAGATAACTGTTTGCCATTGATTTCCATGCAGGAACCATACCTCCCCACTGACAAAAATATACTTGTCAGAAGAGAGGTAGAAGATGAAAATGCTTTTAAGTTACTCAGTTTTTTACCTTGTTAAGGAAATCCTTAGTACATGTTTGTAATACACCTAATGTAAATAAAGAACTTCTTGTTTAAAATTTAAAACATACCTTTTTTTTTTCCAGATATTATTCTTAAATTAATTTTATTTATTTCTTTTGGGTACATGTATATATGTGCTTGCATGCACTTAAACTGTCAGAGCACAACTTGTAGAAGTCAGTTCTTTCCACTATGGGGTCCCAGGGATCAAACTTAGGTTGCCAGCCTCCATGGCGAGTGCCTTTACCCCCTGAACCTTCTTACCAGCTCTTTTTGCTATATTCTTTTTGCTAAAGTATGGTGCTCTTTTGAATTGTTTCTGACTGTTGGTTGGAATTTAGCATTGTTAGTGATGGCATCTTGAAGCTCCCCCAGTAGAGGGCACTCCAGACAAATAGGCTGCAGTTTCATAGTTTGTTAGGTTTTGGTGGTTTGTTTTTTCTCATTTTACTGTTTGCTGCTCCAGCTCAGGGCTTGAGATATACTCAGCAAACATTCTGCCATTGAGCTCTATGGACTCCCTCCCCTGATTAATTTAGTTAGCTTGCCTGTTCTTTCACTCTCCATTATATGTTTATCAATTTTGGTTTTTGTTTGTGTGCATGTATGTGTGTAGGCCTGTGTATAGGTATGTGTGTACCTATAGAAGCCAGAGGTCAGCATTGAGTATCTTCCTCAGTTTTCTGCAACTTTTTGTTTTTTTTTGTTTTTATAGGCAGCCCTGGCTGTCCTGGACTCCCTTTGTAGGCCAGGCTGGCCTTGAACTCACAGAAATCCACCTGCCTCTGCCTTTTCCAAGTGCTGGGATTACAGATGTGTGCCACCTCACTCTGTCCACATTGTTTTTAAAATTGTGTGTGTGCACGTGCACCACACCCACACATGCTTGTATACCTTCCATTGGTGCACATGTGGGAATCAGAGGAGAACTTGTGGGATTACCCATCCAGCCAACTAATTTTTTGAGACAAGGTCTCTCACGGAACCTGCAGGTTAGATTTGTCTAGGTTGCCTGTCTCTGCCCTCTCAGCTGTGGGACTGTAGGTGTGTGTTGAACTCAGGTCTCCATGCTTAGCAAGTACTTTTTACTGACTGAGCCACCTCTCCTAAGTTTCCTTTCTCTTTTAAATGTTTTATATTACTAATAACCCTCAGAAAGGGTGTTTGAAAGTGTATTTTCTTTCTCTCCCCCATCTGTGTGTCTGTCTGTACATGTGTATGCATGTGTTCCTGGGGGCCAGCGGTCAACCTTAGACCCTCCTCAAGAGTTTTTTTTTTTTTTAAGATTTATATACAATGTCCTGTCTGCACGTACACCTAAATGCCAGAAGAGGGCACCAGATTTCATAATAGGTGGTTGTGAGCCACCATGTGGTTGCTGGGAATTGAACTCAGGACCTCTGGAAGAGCAAGCAGTGTTCTTACCCGGTGAGCCATCTCTCCAGCCCATCTGCCTTCTTTTTTGAGGCTTGGTTTCTCATTGGCCTAGAGCTTGGCAGTTCATTTAAGGTGGCAATAAGCCCAGTGATGGGACTGTAAGAGTGTCATTGCATGTGGCATTTCCACCTGGGCTCTGGAGATCCACTCAAACCAAGTCCTTAACACTTGTACAGCCAGCATTTTACCTACCAACCTATCACATCCTTCCTTGAAAATACATTCTCCCTAGGTTTATTCATTTGAGACGAGATCTTACTATATAGTCCTGGCTGGCCTAGAGCTCACTGTGTAGACCAGGCTGGACTTGAACTTGCAGAGATTCTCCTAGTATTTTTTTTCCCAAGTGCTAAGATTAAAGCTACGTACTACCATGCTCGACCTGGAAGTATGTTGTTCTTAAAAATAAATGTTTTGCCTATGTGATCTTTGTATTGTGTGTATTCCTGGTGCCTGTGGAGTTCAGAAAAAGGCATCAGATTCCCTTGAATTGGCATGGTTGTGAGCTGACACATGGGTGCTGGGAGCTGAACCTCATGTCCTTTGCAAGAGCAACAAGTGTTTTAACTGCTGAGCCATTTTTTTATTCTATCCCCTTTTTGAGGATTGATTGATGATTGATGATTGATTAAGAGACAGGGTCTCACTATATGGCTCTGAATGCCCTGAAACTCACTATTAGGATCAAAAGAAACCAGAAAATTGGACTCTTCTATACTGAAAAATTATGTATTAAGACTTTATCTTAAAAAACTAAAATAAAATTACTGTTTGGGTAGGCATGGTGATTCATGCTTGTAATTCCAGCACTTCAGAAGTGAAGGCAGGAGAATCAGGTTCAAGGTCAACCTCAGCTACATGGCAAATTCAAGGCTAGCCTGGGCTCCCTGAGACCCTGGCTCAGAAAAAGGAAATAAATGTGGGTGCTCTGGGTAAGAGCACTTACTGTGAGAGAGAGAGGACCTGAGTTCAAATGCCCAGTACCCATGTAAGAGCCATGCTTAGCAGGGCCACTAAGCAGGCTAGCCAGCACATTAGCATACATACACAAGTCCATACACTGCTATATTAAAAACAGATACTCACATACTTTTTGTTTGTTTGTTTTTGTTTTTTTGAGATAGGATTTCTTTGTGTAGCCCTAGGTGTCCTGGACTGGCTTTGTAAACCTGACTGGCTGGCCTTGAACTCAGATCTCCCTGCCTCTGCCTTGTGAGTGCTGGGATTGCAATTGTGTGCCACGACCGTCTTGCTCTCAAATACATTTTTAAACCCCCCACCCCCAAGGGAGGACCAACTGTATTGACATTATTTCAAGGGTTGGGGCTGGAGAGGTGGTACAGCAGTTTAGAGCACTGGCTGTTTGTTTCAGAGAACCCAGTTTCGATTCTCAGCACTGACTGGGGGTTCACAACCATCTAACTCCAGTCCCAGGAGATCTGATGCATCACATAAAATAAGAACAAATTTTAAAAGATAATATTTGGGTTAGGGATGTAGCTCAGTTCTAGAGTATATGCTTTGCATATCCAAGAACCTACGTTTAGTAACAATCCAAGTTCCGTTTGTCAAAATGGAGAATATTTTACATAGACTGTTTCATCCATGATGATTAGCAATACTTTTAATTGTGAAGAAAATACAGCCTGGTTTTTTTGTTAACCTGATTACTGCTTTTTTTACAATCTATGTAAAAGATGAGTGTTATGCCTACATGTGTGTTTGTACACCATGTGCATGCTATATCCAAGGAAACTAGAAAAGGCTATTGGATCCCTTAAGACTGGAATTAGAGATGTTTGTTAGCCACTTGGATTTTATTGTTTTTTCAGGGCAAGGTCTTGTTTAGCTCAAATTGGCTTTGAACTCTTTTTGTTGTTGTTTTTGGTTTTTTGAGATGATCTCTGTATAGCCCTAGCTGTCTGTAGACCAGGTAGGCGTTGCACTTGATCCTCCTGCCTCTGCTTCCTGAGAGCTGGGATTAAAGACAGAGAGTGTGGGCTACCTCTGCCTAGTTATTATTTGTAGTGTTTTATCTGCATGTGTGCCTACACACCAGAAGAGGGCACCAGATCCATCTTAGATGATTGTGAGCCACCCATGTGGTTTCTGGGATTTGAACTTAGAACCTTTGGAAGAGCAGCCAGTGCTCTTAACCTCTGAGCCATCTCTTTAGCCCTGACCCTTGATCTTACTGCTTCTTTTTTTTTATTGGAGACAAGGTCTTACTGTGTAGCTCTGGCTGTCCTGGAACTTAAGTTACCAGGGTGGTCTCAAACACCTACCTGCCTCTGCATTTCAGGTTCTGGGGATTGAAAGTGTGCATCACTGCCCACCTGTCTTACTTTTATATTGCTGTGACAAAACATCATGACCAAGGCAATTTATTAAAAAAAAAAAAAAAAAAAAAAAACACTTAACTGGGCCTAAAGGCTTCAGAGAGCTTAGAGATGTGCACCAATACACCCAGTTTGCTTCTATTGCTTAAGTGCTAGGATCAAAGGCATGTACCACCATATTTGGCCAAAATTCTTACTTTATTTTTTGAGACAGGTCTATGTAAGCCTTGGTTGTTTGGAATGCTCTAAGTAGACCAGGCTGGCTTTGAACTCAGAGATATACATGTTATGGTTCAGGAATAGCTACACAAAACTATTCAGACACCGATCTCAGTCAGATATGGATGGTTTATTGAATGCACACCCCAAGACTGATCCATTGGGGATGCAGTTCAGACTCAGGTGCTGAACAATGTATTGTTGAATGTTCTTCAGAGTTAGCTTATATAGGCAAGAACCGCAATTAGCTGATACAGGAGGTCTGACAGTGGAACAGGATGGTAGGCTCTGACTTGTTATTTTTGCTAACTAGACAAAGCAGTTCTAGCTAACCTTGAAAGCATGCCTGGCAGCTGGGGCCAGCTGTGCTTATGGCTGCAGAATCTCTAGGAATAAGTTCATAGAGTTTTCTGAACATAAACATAGGTTTATGTTCACCTATGTTTTTGATCCACCTATCTTGCACAGAGATTCTTCTGTCAGCAACAAGCTGAGATAATGTGGCTAGTAGGCCTGAAACAAAAGTGGCTGCAGTTATGTTAAAGGAATAGACCTATACAGGAGGGAAAGTGGGCCTTAACACCTGCCTCTGTCACCATGTGCTGGGATTAGAGGCATGTGTCACTAATTATAATTTGAAAGTTAAATTTAAATTATATTTAAAATTTGAATTTTAGAAAGTGAAGTTTGAAGGAGGGATACTGGAAAGATAGCTCAGTGGATAATGTGTTTGCTTTGGTAATATAAAGACCTGAGTTTAAAACCCCATAAAAGCACCTACATAAAACCATGGCAGTGCACTCCTGTAACCCCAGCACTGGTATAGGTCACGGTGGGGAAAGGATTTCAACAGGGCATCCTTCGGTTTTGTCAGCCAGGCTAACCCAAACAGGAATTCTAGATTCAATGAGAGACCCTGTCTCAAAAAGTAAGATAGATGTTTGGGGGAGTTATCACATGCCTTTAATCCCAGCACTCAGGAGGTAGAGGCAGGCAGATCTCTGAATGTGAGGCCAGCCTGGTCTGCAGAGCTAATTCTAGAACAGCCAGGGCTACATGGGAAACCCGTCTCCAAACCTCCTCCCACGGCCCACCCTTTCCCCCCCCCAAAAAAAAAAAAAAAAAAAAGAAAGAAAGAAAAGAATTCTTTGTTCCTGCAGATTTTTCTGGTCAGTTATATCATGTTTTCTGAGAACATGTTTTTACAGATAAGCACAGAAGCTTTTTCTTTTTAAATTTTCAAACAAGAGAACATATCCCTCTCATCTTGTATCAGAAAAAAAAAATGTATTCTTACAGAGTTACTTAATTTTTTTGTGTATAAGAGTTTTGCTTGCTTGTATGTCTGTGAACCCATGTGTGCAGGGTACCAGAGGAAGTTATAAAAGGATGTTAGGTCTTCTGAAACTGAAGTTACAGATGACTGTGAGACACCATGTGAGTTCTGGAAATGGAATCTGGGTCCTACAACCACTGGGTCATTTCTCCAAACTCTGATATTTCCTTTAACTTACTATGTTCAAAATATTAAATTCATAGGTCTGTTTATATACAATTTTTATGTCCTAACTTTCTACGTTTTGCTTTTATAGGTTATTTTAACTAATCAGATGACAACAAAGATTGATAAAAATCAAGCATTTCTTGTTCCTGCATTAGGTGGGTAAATGAATGAGATAAAGCTTTTTTGATTTTTGATTTTTGTTTTTGTTTTTTTTGTTTGTTTGTTTGTTTTTAATGTGTGAAAGGTGTCAGATCCCTTGGAACTGGAGTTACAGACAGTTGTGAGCTGCCATGTGGGTGCTGGAAATTGAACCCAGGTCCTTTGTAAGAGCAGACAGTGCTCTTAACCACTGAGCCATCTCTCTGGCCCAGTTTTTGGTTTTTTGAGACAGGGTTTTTCTGTGTATTCCTGGCTGTCCTGAAGCTCACTCTGACCAGGCTGACCTCAAACTCAGAAATCTGACTCTGCCTCCCTGAGTGTTAGGATTAAAGGTGTGTGACACCATGTCCAGTGGAGATAGAACATTTTTATTTTAACATTTTTTTCTATATTTTCATTTGATGTTTGATGAATACTATAAGCTTTTGAAAGCAGAGACTATCTTATTCACTGATCACATTTATTAAATGGCTACCTTCTGATGACTGAGTCAGAAACCTGAGAAGTAAATATTCAAAATAGGATTCTAGACATGAAGACCTCAGTCTTAGGGCAGGAAGGAGAATGAGTTTATTTAAATATAAATAATAATGGTGCAAACAGGTATGACTATTAAATTTTATTAGAACACAATGCTTCAAGTTCTTTTTCCACTGAAATCCAGTAATATTCTGTGTGCCAAAGATGGTGAGACAGACCTATAGCCCCAGCTACTGAGGAGGCTGAAGTTGAAGGTTGTGTTGAGCCAGGAGTCACAGGCAAGCCTGAACTGCATAATGAAACCTCCATGGTTGCACATCTTTAACCCCAGCACTCCAGAGGCTGAAACAGGCAGAATTCTCTTAATTCAAGGCCAGCCTGGTCTACGTACGGAGTTCCAGGCCTGCCAGGACTATAATAAGACCCTGTTTCTGGGTGTCAGAAATATGTAACAGGCTTTATGGAATGGAAGGTTGGTAATACACTGAAACTGACATTTTCATGAAACAAATAGAGGATAATGATTTGCATTGCTTTCCTAGACAAGTAAAACTCTAATATTCTTAGGATCTTACTCATGTCCTACAGGTTTTGAAACCAAGAATATTATCTTAAATTTGGTAAAGTAAGATTGTATTTGACCAGACATTCTAAGCAGCTTAAAAATTTCTAAAGATACTATATAGTTAATTTTTTTTTCTTTTAGGGGAAAGCTGGGGACATGCTGCAACAATAAGGCTAATTTTTCACTGGGAACAAAAGCAAAGGTCAGTATAGAAATAAGTTCATAATTTAGAATATCATTGTAATTATACTGAACACTTTCTGTTTTTTTTAGCCTTATTCCCCAGCTTGAGATTTGCAATGAATGACCCATAAACCACTGCTTTTGTTGCCTTGTTTGACATCAGTTAGAGCAAACATAGAAACACGTTGTTAATACTGCACATTCAGCTACATAGGGAATTCTTTGTGTATTTAAATGATGGGGTGAATACACCTGGAACATGTAGGTGGCTAAGGAATTGCTACCTTCTGATATTCTTTGAAATTACTTATTAGCCATGAAGAAGGAGGTGGTACTCTGTGTTCCCAGAGGGGATTGAAAGAAGAATAAAATCAGGACAAAAGGAAAACTTTTGAGGTTAGCCTTAGGACTAATATATATGGAAAATAGGATGGTTTTTCTTAGTTGCTTAATATAGTTCTTGCATGAAATTGTCTGTCACCTTTTATTGCCCATGTATTTACCTGCCTTTCACAAGTATTGTTCTTTAAAATAAAATCATGTCAGCATGAAGCCTTTGTGTTTGTTTCTAAAGCTGCTGAGCAAGTGAATGAACCAGCTTTCCTTTTCTTTTAAAATAGGCCATTGAAAGCTATGAAGTCTTTTATTCTGAACTTCAAAAAATGTCAGATTTATACCAGCCATTCTGTTTTGTGATTAATTGGCATAACCTAGAGAACTTGGTATGGAAGTGCTCTAATAAAGGGGGAAATCAAGGCAGTATGTAGGGCAATATTGATCTTAGTAATACTATATTAAAAAAAAACCTGCATTACATGTCACCTCTTTTTGGGGGAGGGGATTGTTTTGTGTTGTGTGTTTGTTTTTTTTTTTTTTTTTTTTTTTCAAGACAGGGTTTCTCTGTGTAACAAGAGCCCTGGCTGTTCTGAAGTCCAGTTCTGCAGAGCAGGCGGTCCTCCAGCTTATAGAGACATAGAGATCTGCCTGCCTTTGCCTCCCAGATGTTGTTTTTAGAGCTATGTGCCACCACACATGTCACCTTCTAATGCTCTTTCAAATCCATATTGTAGCTAAGTATGTTGGCACATGTCTTCTAAGTTTAGCACTTGGGAGGCTGAGGCAGAAAAGCCTGAGTTTGAGGCTTAACTGGGACTGCCTAGTTCCAGGCCAGCCTAGGACAGAGTGAGACCGCATAAAAAGAAAACAAAGCCATATCATGAAACTTTCATGTACAAATTCTTTTGAGGGTAGGAGGGTTTGATAATGAATCTCTGACTAGTCTCTGATATGTAGTCTTGACTGTCATAGAATTCTGTGTAGCCTAGTTGGCCTTGAACTCAAAGAAATCTGCCTGCCTCTACCTCCTGAGTGCTGGGATTAAAGTAGTGTGCCACCACACCCAGCTTTTATTTAATAAATAAAATGGATTTATTTTGTTTTATGTGAGTATTATGCCTACCTGTTTTTGCATGTATGTTTGTGTAACATTTGTGTGTCTGGTGCCCACAGAGGTTAGAAGTCATTGGGTTCCCATGGAACCGGAGTTCCAGATGGTTGTTAGCGACCGCATGGGTGCTGGGAACTGAACCTGAGTCTTCTGCAAGAGCAAGTGCTCTTGACTATTCAGCCACCTCTCCATCCCCTACAATCTATACTTTGAAAAGGAAGTTAGGGGGCTTTTTGGAAATAGCATCTGTAAAGGAGATGCAACCTGCACAGATCAGTTCTAAAAGATTTTGCAGAAGTGAAGTCAGCATGAGCTTCAAGTCACTAAAACCTAAGTTAGGTATGAATTTTTTCCCTTTCTTCTATAATTGTTTTCTAGAACCTAATTACAGTATTGCATACAAACCTGAACACACTGCTTTTATCTTTTTTTTTCCCTAGTAAAGTACTTTTCCTCCAAATGGTTTCTTTTAAGTATGTAGGTATATGACAGTATTACTGTACATGCTTTATGATAATGAGAATGAATTGAACCAGCTTAGTAACTTAACAATTAAGATATTTTGGTTCTTTATTATTTGGAACCTAATAGCTTTGTCTTTAGAGTTTTGTGAAATCTTTGCATGTGGGGACTATGGGAGTTTTATTTTGTTTGAGTTTTGGGTGCTAGATATTGACCGGAGGATTTTTGGGCACGCTAAGTATGCTCTCCCATTGACCTATAGGTCCATCAATAAGGTTGCATAAAATCTTACATGCTTTGTTTCTTTTGAAACAGGCTGTCATGTGGTACAGGATGGCCTGGAACTTACTAGATAGTATAGGATGACTTTAATTCTTGAAACTTTTGCCTCCACCTTATAGATGCTGCTATTATGGGAGGGTACCACTGCACTCTACTTTTCTACTTTGGTACTCAGGGTAATGAATGCTAGGCAAGCACTCTGCCACTGACATGCTTTTTAGAATTTTTTCTTAAAAGTGCAAAAACAAATCATAAATTTATAAAAATGAACACTTAAATTTGAACATAAAAACTGAAAGCCTTAACTAACAAATCAATGTTGTGAATTGCACTTAGACACTATCATGGCCTAACCTCCATCATTCACAAGTAACATCTAATTTTATGTTTTGCTTTAAGACAGATGTATCTTATATCTGAAGCTTTCTATGTGGACCAGGTTGCCTATGCCTCTGGCATTAAGGGTATGCAACACCACACGTGCCCCGTATTATCTGATTTTTAACCTCCAACAAATGACAGAATGACATTCCAATGATTCTTAAATGATTTTTGTCTGTGTCCTTATATTATGTGGGTTCTCCAATTTGCATTTTATGATAATATGAGGCTAAGATTGTTCAGAATTATACCACATTTTGCCAAGAAGATCTGGTGGTAGAGTGGAGTAATACATCACACCCCCACACAGCATTTCATATGTGTGCTCAGCTTTAGAGCACAAATTGTACTTCTGTCTTGTTTCTTCCTGACCCAAACTATATAGTTCAGCCATATGCTACGCTTCATCTCAGCTAGGGCTATGAGCCAAGTGATTCTTTCTGGTTTAGTTTGAAAAAATCTCTTTGAAGAAAAGATTTTTTGAGATGCAGACATGACATACAAAATTTTTTACCTAGAAATTCGAAGAGGATTTTGTAACTTGAAAGCTTAATCAATTCCCTTTGACTTTATGATTTTTCCCGTTTATTTTAGATAGCCCAAACTGGCCTAGAACTCTTAGCAGTCCTCCTGCCTCTTGCTTTATTAGCCTTATAAGCATGAGCCAGCATACCTGTTTGATGTTAGGATTCATACTAACTTTGTAATGTCTTCTTGAAATCTTAACTATTTTGCCTGGGGCATGGTATTACACACCTATAATCCCTGCACTTGAGGTGAAGGTTGTGAGTTCAAGGCCAGCCTGAGAGGTACATGGCAATACTGTCTCAGTCCATTATTCCCTATCGCTGACAGTGAGTGAGCATGAGAGATTATTATTTCTTAATAAATTTCCTCAAAAAATTCAGATGTACTTGGCACCTTTTTGGATATACTGGTGATGTGAGATGACTTAAAGATTAGCTAATTTCTTTTTTAAAGATGTATTTATTTATTATGTATTCAATGTTGTATCTGAATATACACCTGCATGCTAAAAGAAGGCACCAGATCTCATTATAGATGGTTTTGAGCCACCATGTGGGAACTGAACTCAGCAGCCAGTGCTCTTAACCTCTGAGCCATCTCTACAGCCCCCCCCCTTTGTTTTGTTTTGTTTTTTGAGACAGGGTTTCTCTGTGTAGCCTGGACTCACTTTGTAGACCAGCTGGCCTTGAACTCTCAGATCTGCCTGCCTCTGCCCAGAGTACTGGGATTACAAGCATGCACCATCGTGCCCGGCCCTGATTAGTTGATTTTTATTGAGTTGAAAGTGGAAGCTTTTCATTATTGCATATTCATGTGTTTTATTTTGTGTTTGTGTATATAGGCATATGTATACACACATATACATAGATATATACATGTGCATGGCATGGTTCAGGAGTTGGTTAGTTGGTTCTTTCTACCATATGGGTCATAGGGATGTTGAACTCAGGTGATTAGGATTGGTGACAAGAACCTGTGAACCAGCTGGTCATATTGGCTCACACCCATAGTCCCAGAACTTGGGAGTCAGAGGCAGGTGGATCTCTGAGTCTCAGGTTAGTTTGGTCTACAAACCAAGTCCAAGACAGCCAAGGCTACATAGACAAATCCTGTCTTGAAAAACCAAAAAAGAACTTTTGAGCCCTCTCACTGACCCCAAAAAAGTGATTCTTTTAGGACTCCGTGTATAATTTAGTCAGGGTAGTGCTTGTCTAAGTCATTGTTCATAGTCCACTCTCTAGTACTGCCTCCCTTAAGAAAATCCAAACTCCCAAAATACAATTTTCTAAAAAGACTGGTTAAAATATATTTTGCGTCTTATTATATGTTTGTGTAGAACACTAACTGTAAAGCACTGTGAAAATTTCTGATTGTACTTCTGGTGAAGTTGTGTGTTGGTTTTTTTGAAGAAACAGGGTTTCTCTGTGTAGTCCTGGCTGTCCTGGACTTACTTTGTAGACCAGGCCCACCTTGAACTTACAGCGCTCTGCCTCCCTGGAAACAAAGGCCCTACCACACCCGGCTTCTAATGCAGTTGTCCTGCGCACACTGTCCTGTTGAGTCACACTCATATTCATGGTCGTTGTTCTGTTTCGTTTTGGTTTTTTGAGACAGGGTTTCTCTGTGTAGCCCTGGCTCTCCTGGAACTTGTTCTGTAGACCAGGCTGTCCTCAAACTCACCTGCCTCTGCCTCTGCCTCTCTAGTGCTTGGGATTAGTGGCATGCGTCACCACTGCCCGGCACTCTTGTTGTTTTTATATGTCACTCAGCAGTTACTTTTTATGTAAACTTAGAGAGTTGATGACATTTTGGATTCTGATGTTTGTTTTCTGTGTTGGGGGATGGTAGGTGGGGGGTGTTTTGCCTGCATGTGTGTGCAGTGCCCTTAGAGATCAGAGGAGACTCCCCGGAACTGGGGTTACAGACAGGTGTGAGCTTCTATTTGGGGACTGAGAAAAGAATTTGGATTCTCTGGAAGAGCAACCAGAGCTTTTAACTGCTGAGCCAGCTTTCAAGTTCCAATTCTACTGTTTTCAAAGTAAAAACAGTCTTTGATTGTTTCTCTTGTGAGTTATGCTTAAGGAGAGGGGCATTTTTGAAATTAGGAAAGTTAATAAGTAATGAACAAGGTGTTCTTTTTCGAGTTGAATTTTGAAAATAAGTGAGTAAGCCAGGCTTGGTGGTATATGCTTATAATCCTAGCTCTTGAGAGGTGATGGCAGGAAGATTAGGGGTTCGTGGTCATCCTTGGCTACATAGTGCATTTCAAGCTACACTGGGTATATGAAATCCTGTCTCAAAAACTAAAACGAATGAGTATTATATTCTGTAGAAACTTATAACTTCCCTAACCCTGAGGTCTGTGATTGTTTCCTGTTAAGTTGGAATCTATATTACATACAATTACAATAAAATAGATATTATAGTTGTCTATTTTACTACATTTTAACCATATTTCTACAGTTGGATGGCATTAAATACATTCATATTCTTTATGGCCTTCACTACCATTTATTTCCAGAACTTTTTTATCTTTCCTTCACTATATGTTAGTCATTAGTAACAATAATGTTGGTCATTGGCAGCCACTATTCCATTTTCTGTCTATGAATTTGGGTACTCTAAGAAACAAATATGATTGGAGTTACACAATATTTGATTTACTCGCTTCACTTAGAATGTCTTCAAAGTTTATTCATTTTGTAACTATATGTCAGAATTTTTATCATAAAAAATAATGTTTATTATATAATCCACATTTTATTTACCTCATAGTATATACTCTTGCTTTAGTCTTTTTGCTGTTGTGAATGGCTAATATGTTTTAGAAGTAACAAGAGTGGTAGAAGTAACTCAGCAGAGAAGCACTTGACTAGCGTCTGTGAGGCCCTGTGTTCATTTTCCATCATCATAAAAAAGTGATTGTTCCTTTCTGAAACAGGGTCATTTCTGTAGGGTGTCCCCTTGTTTTGTAACCTAGGTGGTCCTTGAGCTGACAGTCCTTACAGCCCACCCGTCTGCTGCAGGTGCAGGTGTGCCCACCACACCAAGCTCCTTACCAGAAACTTGAGAGACTGTTATGTGCTTGCTGTTAGCATTGTTTGAGTGTAGTTACTAAGAGTCTAGATGGTGGAGCTGGGAAGATGACTCATTCTGTACAGTGCTTGCCAAGAAGGCATAAGAACTTTTGGGTCTGGGTCCCCGACACCCACGTAAAAAGTCAGGCATGGTGACATCCTAGAGCTGGGAGTAAGAAATAGTAGGATCCCTGGGGCTTGCTGACCAGCAAATCTAGCAGACTCGCCGAACCCTAGAATCAGTGAAAGACTTTGAAAAAAATAGAGAAAAACAGAAGATGCTTGACTCAACCTCTGGCCTCACATGCCTGTGCATACATGCAAGAGAAACCCAGTCTCGAAAAACCAAAGAGAGAGAGGGGGGAAGCTTTAACTATTATCTCTCTTTATTTATTTACTTATCTATCTATTTATCTATCTATCTATCTATCTATCTATCTATCTATCTATCTATTTATTTTGCACTGATGGTTTGCCTGCATTGTGTCAGACTCTGGGTTTGCAGACAGTTGTTGACTACCATGTGGGTGCTGGAGTTTGAACTCAGGTCTTTTGGAAGACCTGTCAGTTCTCTTAATCACTGAGACATCTTTTCAGCTCCTGATTATTATTTCTTAACTATTCTCAGCTTGCAGTTTTATTTACGTCACAAAAAAAAAAAAAAAAAAAAAAACAGAGAGAGAGTTCAATCATTAAGAACACTTATTTGCTGCGCTTCTCAAGAACCTGAGGTAGGTTCTTGAGCACACATATCAGGGGGGCTATAGCTGTCTGTAATTCCATCTCCAAGGGAGCTGATGCCTCCAGCTTCTGAGGGTGCTTGTACCCATGTGCACCTGCCTACATGTAGACACACACCTCTCCACAATTAAAAGCAATAAAAAGAAATCTTCTAAAACATACATGTGGATGCATGCCTACTTACTTTTTGTGGGAGGACAGGTATGGTGTAGCTCAGGGCCTTAAGCTTTCCATATAGTGAGGGTGACCTTGAATTCCTGATTTGTTTTGTTTTTTGAGACAGGGTTTCTCTATGTAGCCTTGGCTGTCTTGTACTCCCTTTGTAGACCAGGCTGGCCTCAAACTCAGAGATCTGCCTGCCTCTGCTCCCAGAGTGCTGGTATACAGGTGTACCGCTCTTGACTTGCCTTCATTTTCTAGGTGTGAAAGATTTTAGATATGTGCCACCATGACCGTACTATTAATCTTTGCTTCCAGCACTTTTTCTTTTTTCTCCTGTTTTGTGGTTTTTCCAGACAGGGTTTGTCTGTGTACCCGTCTGTCCTGAAACTCACTCTGTAGACCAGGCTGGTCTCAAACGAAGAGATCCACCTGCCGCTGCCTGGGATTAAAGGGATGCACTGGGTTTGGTTTGGTTTGGTTTAGTTTGGTTTGATTTGGTTTTAAGACACAGGCTGGCCTTGAACTCCTGAGTTCAAAAAAAATTCTTCCTCTGATTACTTGAGATTGAAGGCATCCACAGAGGTGCCCTGTAAGGGAAGTTTTTGTTTTTTATATATTTCTTTCCATTTTGTGTTCTTAAGAACACATGACAGAATTATAGTATAGGACTCTGTACATTTAAATTATGAATTCAGTCATGTGACCTAGTTAATGAAGGCAATGTGTTTGTGTATGTATGTGTGTGTGTGTGTGTATATATATATATATATATGTATGTATGTATGTATGTATGTATAATAATTTTTTTCCTTCAAGCAGGTTTGCAACATTGTACAAGTCACCAAGCCAGAAGGAGTCCACGATACCATTTCAGATCACAGTCAGTATTATTTAATCAGAGTGGGATTTTGGTGTTGATGGGAGTAATTAGAGGTCATGTACAGATCATTTCTGTTAATTATTAAGCAGCAAGCATATTTGAGACTAGTTTTGATGTGAGAACATCACCAAAATAGTACTTAGAGAGTACTGTAGTCACAATTGAAATGAAGTTTTAACATTGAAAACAGAAGAAATATTTATGTAAGTTCCACATTTTTATTTTACAAGTTTTCAGAAAGCCACTGTGAGATTCTCTCTCAAAAATGCCAACAACAATAAAAAAGAACAGAGAAAGAAATACACCAGTATTAATAATTTTGGTCTGTATATAGAAAATTTTGAAATGTTAATATCTTGAGCATTTGCATCACTGGTCTCCAGACCCAAGTTGGCCTCAAACTCACGACATAGTTGAGCATGACCTTGAGCTGCTTTGTTTTTTTTTTGTTTTTTTTTGTTTTTTTGTTTTTTTTGTTTTTTTTTTTTTGTGGGTTTTTTGTTTTGTTTGGGGGGGTATTTGTTTGTTTGTTTGTTTTTTTTTTTTTTTTTAAGACAGGGTTCCTCTGTGTAGCTCTGGCTGTCCTGAACTCACTTTGTAGACCAGGCTGGCCTCGAACTCACAGAGATCCACCTGTCTTTGCCTCCCTCAGTGCCACCACACCTGGCTGTTTTTTTGTTTTGTTTTGTTTTGTTTTGTTTTGAGACAGGGTCTGTGTAGCTCTGGCTGTCTAGGTACTCACTCTGTAGTCTAGGCTGCTTTCACACTCAGAGATCCACCTGCCTTTGCCTCCTGAGTTCGGGGATTAAAAGTGTGTGCCACCACACTCAGCAGCCATCTTATTGTTATAATGATAAAAACAAAAATGGAAAGAATTCTAAAAGTGAATTTTCCACTTAGTTTTTATACTGACCTGTACTCAATTATTTTGTCTTGTTTGAGAAGAAGTCTTACTATGTTTTCTAATCTGGCCTTGAACTTTAAACCCTCCTGCTTCCACTCCTTAGTGATGCTATCACAGATGCATGCCACATGCCAGGCAGAATATCTTACTGTGGAAATTATGTAAAGTGCCTAAATGGCAGTACAAACTTCTTTCCACTTCTCCCAAAAGAGGGTTCTTAAGATTCTCTTTGGAGAACTTTTTGATGTTAACTTAGAGCTTACCACTGAACTACCGGTCTAGTCTTAGAACATCTTTATGCACTGTTATTTTTATGTGTGTATCATGTGTGTATAAAGGAGTATATACTTAATAAAACTCTGGGTTGGAATACCTGCGAAGTTTATCCTCTAGTCAATGGTTAATAAATTATCTCCCAAGAACAAAATCGCTTATCAGTTATTTTAAAACTATTGGGAAAATTATTCTTTATTTTAATTGTTCTTTTGTGTACTTGTGTATTTCTTCATCTTACAGCCTCAGGGATTTAGAGATGCTGTTGTCACCACTACTTCATCGCAGACAGAAGGCTCTTTGAATTTCAGGAAACGGTCACGAGAACCAGAGGAAGAATGCTGACCCAAAACTAATGTCAGCGAATCCAGTTAAACTGATGATGTGTTATTTAGTGTATACAAGTGGAACACAGAAGTAGTTTATACTTTAAAATATGAACAGTTACTGTGGCATGAATGAATCAGTTATATGATGTGAATGGAAAAATAATTTGCAGAATCTTCTCCCCTGTAAAAGCATTTTTTAGTTGTCAGATGTAATTGTCATCTTGGAGACTTACTGCTGAATAAGCTCACCATTTCTAGTTCTCTCTGGCTGGTTTGACGCAGCTGACTGATTCAAACTGGCTTTTGCTGGAACTGCTCTGCTTGGCCTCATACTAACTTTGGCAGTATGTTCTAATCTTGTGGCTTCTCGTTCTCTGGCTCATTCTATCTTCACCTGTGTCTAGCTTGTCTCTACAGCCTATCTCTGTGCAACTGTCTCACTAAAACTGCCTCTTCTCTCATCTGGGCAGGGTGGCACACGTGTGTAGTCCCAGCACTCGGGGAGGCAGAGGCCAGCCTGGTCTACAAATGAGTCCAGGACAACCAGGGATATACAGAGAAACCCTGTCAAGAAAAGATACCAAAAACAAACAGACTGCCCCTCTCTTCCTCCCTCTGCACTGCTCTCTCAAGTCAACTCTCTTTCCTCCCTGCTCTTGAACCGGAATAAGAGTTGAACATCTCTTATTCTGTCAAATCTTTCTCTGATTCATCACTTTGTCTGCCGCAATTAGATATCACTTTCAAAAACATGGGTGCTTCCTTCCACAAATTAACCTTGTCTACATTGTTAGGGATTAAAGGTGTGTACTAAGGACATGTCTGCATTCCAGCAGGATCCCACTGTAATCCAGGGCATGTCTGCATTGCCCCTGACACACCCACACTTTCCTGTGTGCACTGTGGTGCCCATGGACTCAGAGGACAACTTTTGGGAGTTGATTTTTCCTTCCACTTTTTTTTAAAGGATTTATTTATTTTATGTTTATGAGTGCTCTATCTGCAGGCCAGAAGAGAGCATCAGATGACATTATAGATGGCTGTGAGCCACCATGTGGTCACTGGGAGTTGAACTTGTTAATTTATGTGTGCATGTGTTTATGTGCACTGTGTCTGTGTGCTGGTGCCTGCAAACGCTAGATGAGGGTGGTGGATTTCCTGGAACTGGATTACAAAATGACATTGAACCACCATGAAGGTGGCTGGAACCGGATCCCAGTCCTCTGCAAGAGCTAAAAATGCTCCTAACCCCTGAGCCATCCCTCCAGCTCCTCCACCTTGCCTCTGAGGCAGGGTTTCTTCTGTCGTTTCACACTCCAGCTCTACACACTTTGACTGCTCTTTGTGTTTTTGACTCCTATCTCACTAGGAACGCTGGGATTACAAGTGTGTAGCAATGCATGTGAACTATGGGGATAGAACTCAGACTGCTGGGCTTGCATACGAGTGCTTTTTCCACTGAGCATCTTTGTGGCCCCTCTATCTTGAATTTTAAGAAAAAAATTTTACTGAACATGGAGCTCATTGACTGAGAGGGCTGCCTGTCTCCCCACCAGCACTGAGGTTAGCAGATGTGCTGTGCCACACCAGCCTAATACAGGGTCCTCATGCTGCATGTCAGGTGCTTTGCCCACTAAGCCATTTCTCTGGCTCCTGAAAAGATTTTCTAAGCACTGTTCTATAATCACTTTAATGTGTTTTTATTTTGAGTAATGTGGAAAGCTGACCTCATGTTACCTATTTGTAGCTACAATCCAGACTGGAAATTTCCTTTTGTCAGTTACCTAAAAAAAATAATAGGAATAAAACACTATAAGACTTTTTTAAGTATATGTGTGTATATGTCTATGTGTTTGTCAGCTGTGTGGGAGTCCTCAAAGGTGTTTAGATTTAGACCCAGGACAAGTGGCTCAAAGTGGACCTGGCCTCCAGGTTCTCCCAGCATCCCTTAGTCCCTACCTGTTACAGGGCATGGCTAGCATACCCACCCTCTACCCTGAACTTTGTAGGCTGGGGACTGGGCTTCCTGTCCCCCAGAGGCATGTCACTATATAATCCAGACATTTTGGTTCTCTGCCTCCGCATTTCTCGCTCCGCACATGCTCATTCTTAATCTTTCCCCTCCCCTCCATCTTCTGCTTGGTTACTTCTGAAGCTCTGTTCTTTGACCAATAAACCCACCAGAGAGCTGCCCTAAATAAACCTGCCTTATTTGGCTTGAATTGCCTCATTTTTTTTCAATGGAGAATACCTATCGAAAGGCTAGAAGAGGGTACCCTAGAGCTGGAGTTAGGTGTGTTTGGCTGCATGATACAGGTGCTTAAGAGATGAATGCTGAGTCACCTCTCTAGTCCTCATTTTAGTATTATTTTTAAATGTAGTTTTGGGGGTCTAGAGAGATGACTCAGCAGTTAAGAGCAACTGCTCTTTCAGAAGACCTGGGTTCAGTTAACACCCACAAGGTGGCTCACAACCATCTATAATTCCAGTTTCAGGGGACCTGACCTGTCCTCCATGGATAACAAGCATGCATGTGGTATGCATACATAAATGTAGGTGAAACACTTATACAAATATGAAATAAATTTAAAAATGAACCTTAAACGTAGCTTTTTAGTGAGTCAGCATATCACTGTTTAGTTAGGTGGGTTGGTTTATTGGCTAGTTGTATGTATATGGTAGTTTAAATGGGTATGGCCCCCATAGACTCATGTGTTTGAATGCTTAGCCTACAGGGAAGGGCACCATTAGGTGTGGCCTTGTTGGAGGAAGTATGTCACCGTGGGGTTGAGCTTTGAGGTCTATGCTCCAGCTACACCCAGTGTGGCACACAGTCGTCTGCCTGTGGATCAAGATGTAGGTCTCTCAGCTCCTTCCCTAGCAGTGTCTAGCCATGACGATAATGGACTAAACCTCTGAATCTGTAAGTCAGCCCCAAATTAATTTTTTTTTCTTTATAAAAGTTGCTGTGGTCATGCTGTCTCTTCAGAGCAATAAAACCCAAACTAAGACTGTATGTGTGTATACCTTACTGTGTAGCCCTGGCTGGCCTCAAATTCAGAGTTTACCTGCCTTTGCCTCTAGGATTAAAGGTATACAATACCACGCCTGGATACTTCTCACAAATTTTAGTTGGCAAAATCGGTTTTGTTTGTCATTTTAAAGGGAAGATGTTGTAGCTGATTAGGTGCTTTTCAAGTGTGTGCTTTTGAAGTTTTGAGGTACTGTCAATCAAACAGGTTATCACTGTCATATACCTCAACTCCATATTGCTATACTGAAAAAGAACCCTGAGTCCCTGATTGTAAGCAAAGCCAAATGCTTATGTGTGATTCTTTTAAAATAAATTTACATTAGAGCTTTTAAATTTGTTCCTATTGCCAAAAATGTTTTTTTAAGTTAAAAAACAGATTTTCTATATATCTTAATTTGTTAAGACTGTAACTGCCATAGATTAGGTGACTTGTTTGGTTTTTTGTTTTTTGTTTTTTTTTTTTTTGAGACAGGGTTTCTGTGTGTAGTCTTGGCTGTGGCTGTCCTGGACTCGCTGTGTAGACCAGGCTGCCCTCAAACTCACAGAAATTGCTTGCCTCTGCCTCCCCAAGTGCTGAGATTACAGGCATGTCCCACTGAACCCAGCCGAACTGGTGACTTTTCTAGCCAGGAAAATGGAGGCAGGAGGACTAGGAGTTCAGTAATCCTAGGCTTGATAGCAAGCTTGATGCTGGCCTACATGAAAGCCTATCTTTCTTCTTTTTTTTTTTCCTTTTCTCACACTTGCAAATAGTCAAGTTTGGCGAGAGCTTTCTTCCTAGTTTACTTGAGAGACACCCCTAGTACATGTGCTTGCAAGTCACCAAGCGTATCAGATTAGGAGAACTTATTTTTGTTTTCTTGTGTGTGAATGCTTTGCCCTGCATGTGTGTATCTGTACCATGTGCCTTTTTGCTGTCTGTCGAAGTCAAAGGGCTTTGCTTTACCTGCAACTGGAGTTTCAGATGGTTATGAGCTACCATGTGGAATCAAAGTCTGGTCTTCTGTAAGAGCAACAAGTGTTCTTAACTCCTGAGCCATCTCTTTTCCCTAGGACCCAACTGTTATGACTGGGTGATCCTTAATTAGCTCTTAAAGTTCCCATCAAAATACTAACTAGGCTTAGTCCTGTTTAGTTTCCAAGAACCAGTAGCATAGGTGTGTTCAGGGTCATACAGACAAAAGGGAAAATATATAGTGATTTAAAGACTGTAGGTTTGTAGAGCTGGGAGTCAGCTCGGTGGTAGAGTGCTTGGCTACCATGTTATACCTTGGGCTTAATCCCCAACACTCAAAATATTAGAAAGTATTAGCAGTTCTAGAATCTGAAATCCTCAAACTGGCCTAAAAATAAGGTGGTATCACTTCTGTGTACCTCCTGAAGCCATGAAGGGAAAATCCAGTCATTTTCTCTTGCTTTTTTTGTTCTTCTCACCATGTTCTGGAGACAGGCTAGACAAATGCACTACTACTAAGCCGCATCCACCAGGCCTCAGCTATTTGAAAACTTTTTTCTTTCTTCTTTTCATTTTATTTTATTTTTGACTTTTCAAGTCAGGGTTTCTCTGTGTAGCCTTGGCTGTCCTGGACTTGTTTTGTAGACCAGCCTGGCCTCAAGCTCGCAGAGATCCACTTGCCTCTGCCTCCCCAAGTGCTGGGATTACAGGCATGGGCCACCAGGCCCACGAAAGCTTTATTTTTCAAATATGGTAATTCTTTATCTGTTATTTAAATATAGACTTCCCCTAGCATTTTCTGTTGCATGGCTGTAACTGGTGATAGTATATTTATTGTCTCCAGTTGCTAGATGTCCAATACAAGATAGGTAAAGTGGATAAAAGTCTTTCTAGAGAGCCCAACTCTAGCATCTGGAAGGTAGAGGCAGGGGGTTTAAAAATTCAAGGCCATCCTCAGCTACACAGAGTTTGAGGCCAACTTAAAATACATGAGACCCTGTCTCAAGTTGGTTTTGACAAACAGGTCCAGCTGGCAGACAGGGGTTGCACTTGGATTTCATCTTAGGGTTAGATTATACTGTTGATTAAAAAGAATCAGGACAGGAGCTCCACAAAGAGAGCAACAGAACCAAAATATCTGGGCACAGGGGTCTTTTCTGAGACTGGTAACTCCAACCAAGGACCATTCATGGAGATAACCTAGAACTAGAACCCCTGCTCAGATGTAGCCCATGGCAGCTGAGTATCCAAGTGGGTTCCCTAATAAGGGGAACAGGGACTGTCTCTAACATGAACTCAGTGGCTAGCTCTTTGGCAACCCCAAACCCCCCCCCCCCCCAGAGGGGGGAGCAGTCTTGCAAGGCCACAAAGGAGTACACTGCAGCTAGTCCTGATGAGACCTGATAAGCTAGGGTCAGATGGAAGGGGAGGAGAACCTCCCCTATCAGTGGACTTGGAGAGGGACATGGGAGGAGATGAGGGAGGGAGGGTGGAATTGGGAGGGGCTTAGGAAGGGGGCTACAGTTGGGATACAAAACAAAAAAAAAATGTAATTAATGTCAAAAAAAAAAAAAGAATCAGACTTCCTTTTATTTCATGTTATCCTTAAGATTACCCTTTCTGGTAACTGGTGTACATTCATGAATATTGATACAATGTGTCTCCATCACACTGTATCTATCAAAGGCTAATGTGGCTTAAAGTTGGTTTCCCAGGGAGATACTATTGGAAGGTAGTGGAAATTGGAAAGTGAGTCTTTAGATCATTGAGGGTATACTTCCAAGAGGATTGTGGGACCCCAAGTCTCCTTTTTCTCTTGCTTCCTGGTCCTGGGGTGAATTTAGTCCTGTCATGTGTGCATCTGCCATTGCCATCTGGCAAACACACCAGAGGCCTGGAAGCAGTGAGTTTGTCTGATCATGGGCTTCAACCTCTAAAACTGAGCCAAAATCAACCTTTAATTTCAGCTGCTGTTATAGTGATGAAAAGCTAACACGAATATATTTGTATGTACACAGGATATTCCCAAGATTTATGACTGTTTTGGCTGCATATATATCTGTGTACCCTGTGTATACCTTGACCTATAAAGCTCAGAAGTGTCATATCACCTCTAACTGGGATTACAGGCAGTTCTGAGATACCATGTAGGTGCTGGGAACTGAGCCTAGGTTCTCTGCAAGAGCAGCAAGTGCTCTTAACTACCAGAACATCTCCCCAGTCCCCCAGTGTTGTTTGTTTCTGTTTTTCAAGACAGGGTTTCTCTGTGTAGCCTCAGCTGTCCTGGAATTCACTCTGTCCTTAAAGCTCCCTTAAACTCACAGAGATCTGTGTGCCTATGTTTCCTAAGTGCTGGGATTAAAGGAAAGCACCACCACCACCTGGTGTGTGGTTGTCATTTTAATTGGCATACTCATTGTAAATAGTAATGGGTTTCATGAAGATGTTTTTATTATAGGTATATCAGGTACTCATTTCCAGTGGTGTTTTTCCCCTTTGTGTTAGCTCTTTATTTTTTAATATAATTTTTTATTTATCACAATTTATTCATTTTGTATTCCAGCTTTAGCCCCCACCCTATTTCCAGTGTTTTTATTATCATCTCCATGTTTTACCATGTTGTGAACACAACTAGCACAACATAAACTGGTGATGTAGTTTATTTTGGAAGCCAGGTACGATGATGCACACCTATAATCTCAGCACTCAGGGAGGCAGAGGTAGGCAGATATCTGTGAGATCAAGGCCAGCCTGGTCTACAAAGCAAGTCCAGGACAACCATGGCTACACAGAGAAACCCTGTCTCAAAAACAAAAAACTCATTTTGGAAAGAATATCAGAGATGTTGTCCTTGGAAAATCAGTTTGATTTCAAGTAAGTTTAGGTATTTAATACAATAAAATGTACACTTAAAAGCTTACATAATCTAATTCAGCACCTGGTTTTGTTTATTTTTAGGATGCAGGCGTACTATTTTTAAATATAGTTATTACATGTCTATATTGCTATAGAAAAAGAAATCATTCCTCCAGGAGCTGGGGAGATAATGCATTCAGTAAAATGCTTGACATACAAGTATGAGGCTTTGAGTTCCATCTCTGGAAACCACATGAAAAACAAACAAAACAACAACAACAACAAAACACTGGGTGCACTTGAGGTCTCAATACTGAGGAGGCTGAGACAGGTAGATCACTGGGATCCATAGGCCAACCAGTCCAGCTGAATCTGTGGGTCCTAGTGCAATGAGGCACTGTCTTAAAAGAGCAGAGTGAACAGCAACTGGGGAATGACACTGAGCTGTGATCTAGCCTCCATATGAAAACACACACACACACAAAAATCATTGTCAACTAGACAATGGTATCCCACACCTTTAATCCCAGTACTCGGGAGGGAGAGGCAGTGGATCTCTGAGTTGGAGGCCAGCCTGGTCTACAGAGTGAGTGCCAGGACAGCCAGGGATACACAGAAAAAAACCTGTCTTAAAAAAAAAAAAAAGACTAACAAAAAAATCATTCAGTATTTCCTGTGTGATGGGTATGTGTGTTTATGTGCACATTTCATGTATGTGAGTGAACGTGGCTGTATGTGATTACACATACAACTGTATGTGGGTGTTGAGAGGACATCCTCATTATTGATCCTTGCTTTCCACCTTGTCTGAGACGGCATCTCTTTGCATAGTCCAGGCCAACTGGTTCTAGGGATGCTCCTGTCTTGGCTTCCAGATATGCCACAGGAGCGTCGTGGTTACAGGTGCTTGCACTTATCTGCTGAGCCATCTCCGGCCCTGCTGTGTTTTATTTTTGTCAGTAATGTTCTTAATCAAGTTTCTGCAGTTGGTAGTAAAATTATAGCATAATGTGATAGAATGATCCTAGGACTAAATTAGAAGACCCTTGTTCTTACTCTGCCTGAGACGTCCAGAAGCTATGTTAGTTTGGGCATCTTTATTTATCATGTCACTGTAAAACATAATAAAAATCAATAGTATTAGAATTACTACTATATGTTGAATTTCAGTTTTGAGACAGAGCTGGTGTTCTATTGCTTTAAAAAAACATATTGAGTTACAGGAGAGAAGCTGACTGTTCATAATATGTATTTTTAGTTAACATCAGTGCCTAAATTTACTGTTACTGTTAAAATTTACAGAACATTTTGCTCCCTTAGAAGTGATTTTGGCATAAAATATGTTGACAAGATTCTATGTATTTTTGATTGCAGCATTTTTTTTTCTTGTTTTCAGTCCC